TTCATGCCCTTCTCTGGGGAATGGGGGGTAGGACTGAAAGTTCCAAGCTTCTTATCATGGCCTGGTCTTTTAGTGACCAGTCTCCATCCAGAAGCCCCCCAAAAGTTGCCTCATTGGAACAAAGGACATTCCTATCACCCGGGAAATTCCAAGGGATTTAGGAGCCCTGTGGAAGACGTTCCTGTCACTCAGGAAATTCTGCGGATTTAAGGAGGTCTGTGTCAGGAACTGGGGTTAAAGACCAAGTGTTAGCAGGAACCGGGGGTAGAGACCAATATACATGTTATTTTACATCGGTCCATCAGAGCATTCCCACTTCTCTGAGCATTTTGTTTCTTTCTTCCACAGTTTGCCAAAGCAGTGTTGGCATCTCTATGGACGAAGTGTTTTAGACTTCTCTCCCGGGGTTCCTGTGAGGGTGTTAAATCTTGAGTCATGGGATGTGTCCCAATATTGACAAATTATCCCTCATTCCATCTTATGTTTTATTTGCCCAGCCCTGATCCATCACCTTCAGGATTCACTCCCAAACATACCCTCGCAGTTCCTGCCAGTACGTGTTAGCCAGGCCCTTTAGTTGTAACCTCCTTCCTCCCTTACTGTGCCCAGCATTCCCTGCGATTTTACCCTAATCACAGGGCCAATGGCCAGTAGAGGAGGTAGAGGTCCTGGCAGGGCCCCATCTTCCATCAAAAGGGAGGGGGCCCCTTCTGCAGCTCCGGATGATGCAAGAGAAGCAGATGGCTCAAGGCTCTCAAGTCCATCGACCCAGAGATCCTCCTCCCAAGTCAAGGATCCCTCCTTTCCTACCAAGGCCCCATTTTGGCATCAGAGACTTGCCCAGGCTGAGAATCCAGCCTTCGTTGAAGTTCTGTCTCTCTTACAATTAGGTCCTGTGCCTGGTCTTCAGTGCTGGAGATGAGGTTTCCTTAAGTGCTGCCAAGGAGGAACTTTGAGTCTCACACTTTGCTTTCAGATGCTGACAGATCTGAGCCTGTCATGTTCTCTCCTCAGTGCATCAGTGGAATTTAGTAGAAGTCACCAATTCCACAGTCCTTACCCCATACTTCTCATATGTCAGAGATGTTGCACCAACTCAGAATCCCCTTCCATCTGTGTCCCATCCCACTTCACCACCAGTGGTGGGGTCCATATTCCCATCCAGCTGCTGAGGGCTTCTCCTCCACAATCCCATCCTTAGCATTGACTTCTAGGGCTATTTTCAGGAGCAACTCTTTTAGATCAGCTCTCCAGAAATAGAGCCTGACATGCAAATTCTGCGAGAGTGATTTATTGGGGTGGGCTCTCAGATGAAGGGTAGTGAAGGAAGTAGGATAGGGCTAAAGGAAGAAAGCTCAGCTTGATGTGGTCTCAGCTGAAGATGTGGGTGAAGCAAGAATTGTACGCAAATTTGGTCACATCTTGAGGTAGGGAGCTGGTCTTTTGAAAGCTCACCTCAATCAGTCATTGAGTGCTGGCTGCTCACCAGGGAGGGCTCAAGAGCAATTCTTCGGAGAAGGGGAAGCTGTGAACAGCTCACAGCCTATCCTTCCAGCATCTGGGGAAGGGGAGCCCTGGGCAGGTAGGGCGAATCTGAGCAGAGCATCAGTGGCATTCCCTACAGACCACGAGAGCTGCTGGATTGCAATTTTTAGGAGCATGGCTTTGGAATCAGACAGATCTGGGTTTGGATCCTGGCTCTACCACTTGAGCAGCTTTGTCCCCTAGCTTTGCTAAGCCTCAGCTTCCTTGTCTGTAAAATGGGAATAATTACGGTGCTGCCCTCGCAAGGTTGTGGGAAAATTTAAGTCAAATAATTCATGTGAGGCACTTGGTATTTTTCCTGGCATGTATTAATAACTCATTTCTTAAGTTCTTATAATTAAATTTTATTTACATAAATTTTATTTACCATAGCAACTGATGCTCAATAAATATTTATTTTCATGGACTGGTGATGACTAAATGAATGAATATTATTTGCTAAGCAGCTATCAGGAAAACTGCCCCCAGGGACTTTCTGTGAGGGAAAGGAGAGATGGGTGTGTCTAGCTCCAAGACAATGACAGCCAACTGTCCGTTTTCCTCACGTTCTCCAAGAGGGCAGTGTTTGTCCTGGCAGGACCCAGCGGCAGTCTCCATAGCTCCCTTTGGTCCTTTAGGACAACATCAGTACGTTAATTCCAGACTTGTTTTTTACACTGATTACAATTACAGAGTCCCCTGCCCAGGATGGAATGAAAACGGAACAGCTGAGGGAACCATCTCAGGCACACTTACGTTTCCCAGAGGACTTTTGGAAGCCAAAATAGTCTTAAGATTCCACAGCAAGGGTGGCCAGTTTGGGAATGAGAACACATCAGCACAAAAGGTCACAATCAGTTCTTTGAGGAAGAGTTGGGTATTCACATTTTAAAAATGCATGGGTTTGCATCAGGGGATCTAGTTCTTCTTTTAAGCACAGCATCAGCATGACTTCTGATAACAACCTTTTCCTCATACCTACAGTTAGGTGCAGCCACTTCTGCGGAAAAAGAATGAATGAAACAGTACATGGAAAGAGACTGCCTGACTCATACATGTGTTTCTGGAACACTGGCCTCCCTCTAGGCCCAGCTCCTCAGGGCCTGCAGTGTGTGCCATCCCTAGTTTTTGATATTTGTCCATGATGCACATCCATGTGGCCCCATCCACCCTCCTCTCGGCCTCCCTGCATATACGTATGCTCTGCTGAGCTTGACGCTAGCCAGTGGTCATGCTGGTGTTTCCTATCCAGGAAGCAGTGGGGGTGGGGCAGGGGGGATGAGGTTTGGTTTGTGTTTGTTGTTATTTTCCAAGCCTGTCTGTGGCTCTTTGTGATTCTGTCTTCAGACCTATGGTGGGGGGAGTGACGTGCTTTAGAGGAGTCTCAGTAAAGCTGAGAGGGTGTCAGCTTTGCACTGGGTGTCACCAGGCGTCTTTTCTGCCGTCTCGCTTGTGCTAGCTATTCTTTGATTTCCTTACCTTAGCACAACCCGCACCTCTGATGCTCTCACCTGGATGTGATGGCTGCTTCACATCCTTGATTGTCCCAAACAGATTGCACTGTCTGTTCAATTGTCGCATAAGTGCAATTGTAGTTGTCGGACCAGGAGTCCCTACTTTGATTTGGAAAATCCTATTCTTTTAGGCATGGGGCTGAGGAAGAGTGTGTATGTGTGTGCGCATGCATTTCAGTCCTAAGACATATTTTGAGCATCTGTTATGGGCTCTGAGTTTACAAAGAGGAATACAGCTCGGATCCTTCCCTCAGGGAGCTTACAGTTTGGGGCCTGGAGAAGACAGGAGGGTTAACAAAGGAGTTCCAGACGGCATTGAATGCTACAGCAGAGGACCTCCAGGACCATCTTCTCGCACACAGGAAGACCCTGCAAGGGTCCCTTTTAGGGAACTACAGGGAATAGATCATGGGAGTAGCATATACAAAATTGAGGAGGCAGGAAACAGTGCATGGCATTGGAGAAGCTGTAAGAGGAGAGGCAGCTTAGCTGAGGAGAAAGAGCATGGCCTGGAGTCAGATGAGCCCAAGTCAGAATTGGATTTGTCTTCGAGCAAAGGACATTGCCTGTTCCTGCCTGTTAGCTCATGCAAAAGTAGAAACTTCAATAGCATTGTTGCTGAGATTACATAAAGAAGCGAGCCCAGTCTGTGTTCATAGCAGATTCTCAATAAACGGTACTTCTCTGGCATCTAGGCCCTATCCCAGAAGTTGGGGTGTTGGTTGGGGAGGCACTACAGGAGATAAAGCTGGAAAGGTGAGTGTGCCCAAGTCACAAGGGCATTTTGAGGGGCATCACACACAGTCTTCTGTGGGGAGTGTAGTGAAATTAGGGACTTTCTTCCCAGAAGAATGCGCCCTTCCACAATGTTGTGTATACAACTTAAGCAGGTTTATGAATGCCTTGAAGTCCACCTGTGCCTCCTATAGGAGGTCAAGCACCCTCCTACAGACAAGGGGAGCCATCAAAGGGTTTTAGGCAGAAGCATGGCATGATCAAACTTCCATTTTTGAAAAATCACTCTGCTGGTGGCCATGTGGAAGTTGGACCAGAAGTAAGAGAAAATTTAGAGGCAGGTGAGAGATAAGATATGGAAGTCAGCATGGAAAAGAGAGGAGAGATTTCAGAGCTACTTAGGAGTAAAATTGGATGGAGTTTATGGCCAATTGGAGCTTAACACTAGCTTCCAGGTCCCCGGTCAGCTGGTGCCATGAACAGGAATGGAGAATTCAAGGGCAGGAGCAGTTTGTGGAGTAGAGAGCATGATGGTTTGGAGTCTGAGCTTGTTGAGGGTCATCAGGTGGTGATGCCCTTAGCAGGTGGACCTCTGGGTCTGGAGCTCAGGGCAGAAGCCTGGTCTAGTTTGGACAGAAATTTGGGCCTCTTCAGTGGACAGGTGGTGGTTGTAGATATGCATATGGATGAAGTGACTCAGAGAGAGTGTTGAATGTGAGAAAGCAGAGGGCAGAAACTTGGGGAACCCGTTTATTTGGGGAGCTGATGTGTAAGCAGAATGAAGACTTGGCTAAAGATGAAGGTGGGGGATCACAGGAGGAGGAGGAGAATCAGGAGAAAGTGGTATCATGGAAGCCAGAGAAGGAGAACATTTCAAAAAGGCAGAGGTCAGCAGTGTCAGATGCAGTCAGGAGTAAGAGAAAAGTGGGACTGAAAACTGCCTCACCAGGCTCAGTGACTGGAAGTCCTGGGGTGTGGGGCACATTGACCGTGTAGCAAGTGTAGTTTCAATGGAGTGGTTAGTACCGAATTCTAGCTGTGACAAGGTTGAGAAAGTAAAGGTTAAGGAATCAGTGTTGGTAAGAACCTAAGTTTCCCTGTGTGTGTGTGTGCGTGTGTGTGTGTGTAAGAAAGGAAGGGGGAGGCCATTCTAACCATGTATCATGTTTGGGAGTAACTTTTGAGTAACAATCCCATATACTTACTTTGTAGTTTGTTTGTTTTTAGAGGAAATCTCTCAGAATGCGTTCTGCAGAAAATGACCTCAGAAGAACATCATCTGAACAGGAGGAACGGAATCCCAGTGCTCCGTCATTCCCTAGGAGCTGTGTCCAGGCAGAAGCAGCACCTGCCAGCCCCTGCAGAGAGCAGAGGGGAGATGACTATGCCGAGCCTCATGACTACTTCAATGTCCTGGGTTACAGAAGCCTCAGGAGCTTTGTCTTCCTGGCAGAGACTGGGTAGCTCCCAGAGGCATCTTCTGGGACATACAGTCCTGTCTTTGCTGATACAGATGGAGGTATAATGCACTCTCCATCACTGCTGTGTGTGTGTGTGTGTGTGTGTGTGTGTGTCTTCAGCTGAATGAATGAATGTTATCCTCTTCTCTGCATTTCCTCTACCTTTCCCTTCTGTTGCATTGTGGCAGACCTGGGGTGAGCAGCTTGTGTCTTGATTATGAATGCATGTTAAAAAAAACTTGACCTGGTTTTGAATCTGGCCGTTTGAGCAGATTCTGTGGCTCTGAGAAATGGATTCCTCCTAATAACACTGGGCAGGGTTTTGGGCTACAGAGTTTTGTGGTGGAAAATGATAGTGGTATGACTGTGGAGCCACCGTATCTCATTTCTCACTTCGCTGTCACTTTCATGAACATTCACACATTGAAGGTGCTTTATGAATAAGGCATGGTACTAGCTTCAATGGGGAGATTCAAGGATGACTAAACCATGGTCTCTGGTCTCAGGCCTGTGAGAACTTACAGTTAAGTGGGGAGACAGCACTTACATAGAAAGATAGTAAGGAGATAAGGATACAAGACACAGGCCTTTGGGAAGAGATGTCAGTCCGAGGTGAGGTGATCAGGATAGGCTAATCTGTGGTGAAGTGGCTTATGAGGATGAAAGGAACAGTGGGGCTGGTTTGCTAAGAGCAGGAACTTTTCTAGGAAACTCGTAGAAACTAAAGTTGAGTTCCAAAAAGCCCCACAAGGAAGGCCCTGGCACCAAGGAAACCAACAAGACTTCAGATTTTATTTTCTGGGCAGGCAATTCAAGTCTCCTTTTGTCGGATATACTCAGAGTCCAGTAATTGTCTGATAGAGAGGACTCTAGGCTCTTCCAACCACAGAAGTTGTGCGAGTCCACCAATGGTGCGGGAGCTGCGTCTTAGCCCTTAGGCCATGATCCATCTGCCTTTTCTCTATCAATCCACCGTTTAGCCTTTGAAGAAAGTGTCTATTTCCCACTAAAAGAAAAACTTGGATTTTTAAGTAAGGAGTTTTCCTAGGAAGAAAAATAGGGGGATAATAAGGGGCTTAAAAAATGAACACCCTCAAACTGGCTTCTCTGAACCCTTAAATTCACCACTGACTTCTTTGTGCTGAGGTTGGGGTGGCATCTGAGTACTCATTTCTGTTTAACTGGCATTCAGGCTTTTATCTCCCTACCATCTTTCTTAGAGGAATGAGGGGGTTGGTTGGTTTACAGGTGACTGATTTTCTTTCGTGGGATCTGGGAACTGAGAGAGAATGTGAAGCAGGCCTGTCTTCTGCCAACTGATACATGGAGCTTTGCCCTGCTACCTAAGAATTAGGCTGGTTAAGCAAGAAGACAATTCAACTCCTACTCCTTTGTGGATCTTTATGTATGTTTATTTTTCTCACTTTTCTACCCAACAGGTATTTAGTTAGAGCAATGAGCTGAAGCCTGTCCAGAACACCAAGTCCTTTGGAAGAGAGATAGAGACATGTAAAATGCTGTTATTTGCCATGGCAGTTCACAGCATTTTTCGTGCAAAACTGGTTCAAATTGGTTGGGAGTAGAACACAATTCACGAATTGGAAATGAGCTAGAATGTAATGACAAAAAGGGAGTGGTGTTTTGATTTGGTGGAGATATATACTGGGCCGAGGCTGGACTGAGAGTTGGGTGTTATTTAACGTGATTATGGTAACTGGAAAAGTTTACAAATACCATTTGGATCGTGATAAAAACACAAAAGGATCCATAGACATTGTAAATGGGCAAGGTTACTAAAATGAATTTGAATTAGACAGAAAAGAAACTTCCAAATGGAATTCATTGAAATAGATTTTCCTTGGAGAAAAAAGAAGACAATCCCCTAACAGCCAGATTCCTGGAGACGTGGGCAATGCAGTAGAGAAGCCGCTCCCCACATGTAGCTATCAAGCACACGAGATGTGGTTAGTCGGAACTGAGATGTGCTGGCCTGTAAGTGTGAAATACACACTGGATCTCGAAGACTTAATATGAATAATAAGAATGTAAACTATCACATTGGTAATTTAAAAATATTGATTACCTGTCAAAAAGATAACCTTTTGGATATATTGGGTTAAATAAAATACATTATGAAAATTGATTTCACCTTTTTTTATTTTTAAAGATGGGCATCTGAGCTAACATCTGTTGCCAATCATTTTTCATTCTTCTTCTTCTTCTCCCCAAAGCCCCCCAGTACATAGTTGTGTATTCTAGTTGTAGATCCTTCTAGTTGTGGCATGTGGGACACCACCTCAGCATGGCCTGATGAGCAGTGCCATGTCTGTGCCCAGGATCTGAACCAGTGAAACCCTGGGCCGCCGAAGCAGAGCGTGAGAACTTAACCACTTGGCCATGGGGCTGGCCCCACACCTGTTTCTTTTTACTTTCTTAATGTGGCTACTGGAAAATCTAAAATTGCATATGTGGCTCCCATTATGTTTTTATTGGACTGTGCAGTGCTAAACGGCAAACCCAAGCCAACCTGGTGCCTGGGGAGGGTGTCTGCCTCTGACGGGTGGTCTCTGTCTCTTTCTCTTACATTCAAAATAGGGTTTGAGGAGGCTTTTCTCTCTTCCTGTGTCTTTTGAGAAATATACAGGAAAGAATCACAGGGGAGATTGAGGCAGAGGACCCCTGAGTGCAGACAGGAAGAGACCTTAAGCTCCCTTAGATCCCCTCCTGTGTTCTCTGAGAGGAGGGGAGAATAAATGAATCAAGGAAGGAGTTTGTGGAGGAATAAATTTACTGATTCCCTACTCCTTATCACTCTACATTCTGAGCCTGGGCATTTAGAGTCTTACCTATAATCCAAAGAACTATACTGAACAAAAAAGAGAAATGTTGAGTCACGAGGCTTTGAGGTAGATGATCTTCATGAGGGGACTGGACCTTCCCTTGCAACTTGATTTCATGACTTGTCCCTTCTCGGCTAGTGAGCCCCTGGAAATGACTCACCACACGCACTCAAGTTTCCTACGGATTCCGTCTGTGCTGAGCAGGACAGGCAGGCTGTGTGTGCTGCACATGAACAGCAGCATGCAGGCGGGCACACCACACCCCACATAGAGGAAGGAGCCAGCAGCATGGCTGTGGCTGCTGGCCGTGGGTGTGAGTTTTGTTCAGTCTGCTGGTTCTTCCTAGTCCGGCTTCATGGCTGTAATTAGTCATCCCCCACATCCACTCCAAAGCACACCGCCCAAGAGGCCCAGGGGAGCCTTAAGTGTGCAAGATCCTGATAGCATGAGATACCTGATTGCGTAAGGTAGAGTCAAAGACAATGCTATCCAATACAACTTTCTGTGATGATGGAAATGTTCTCTATCTGTGCTATCCAATATGGCAACCACTAGCCACATGTGGCTGTTGAACACTTAAAATGTGGCTAATGTATTGGAAAAACTGAATTTTAAATTTTATTTAATTTTAATTAACAAATTTAAATTTAAATAGTGACATGTAACTAGTGGCTAGTATATTACACATCACAATTGTAGTAATTGCCTTGCACATGGAGAAAATATAGAGAGGTGTGTTTATAAGCCATTGGATGGCTCTACAGATGTTACGCATTTGAAAGGGCTGCCACTAGGAAGAAACATGGAGGTCCTCTTCTATTCTCCTGTGTCCTTCCTTTGATCAAGACAAAGCATGAGGCCAAAAGCAGGTTGTGCATTTATTTATTTCAGACTCTTCGCAAAAGGTATCTGAGTGGTCCAGTTCATGTAAATGGGGCCAGGACTGTCAAGAAGTTAGCAACACATAGGTGTCATGCAGGCATAGACTTGTATCACAGGGCTTGCCCTGGACTACAGTCATTCTGGCTTCACGTTAGAATGTTTTGAAGAACACCTCCTCTGATGCTAAAAGTCAGGTTGATTTTCCAGAGCCCGAAAGAGAAGTAGCTATGGTGTGTCGCCGACTGGCAGTCAGCATACTTGGTCCAAGTGCTCAGCATTGCCAGTTAGCTTCATGACATTGGATAGGCCACTTAATCTCTCAATTGTCATTACAAATGTTTCCCCGTTTATAAAATGGTAATAATAATACCTACTTTATAAGGTTCTTGGGAAGATGAAATAAGATAATGTGGTTGAGTCTCTGTAAACTGCAAGATGCTGAATTAATGTTATTATTATTATATTATGTCCCATGAGCATGTGCATCTGGCACTGCTTATGATGCTGCAGAGGTCCCCGAGGGGGCATCAAAACTTCTTGGGAGCAATGAAGGTAGCTAGAATGATCAAACTCTTAAAAACTGGAATTTAAGGAATGCTAAGAGTTGCATATATCATTGGGGTCTGCAAATTCTCCATATTTAAAAATTTTGTGTTTTATGTGAGATGATTATCTTTTAAAAAGTCAAACACCTCTTGGATGTTGATGACCTTCTTCTAACAGAGTGCTGCCATTGTCTTCAGTCTCTGTATTTAGGTTTATAATTAAGTTGATTTCATGACATGGAGGCTTAATTCATAAATGATTCTTTTGCCCAGCAGGGCAGAGCAGTGGAAGGTTTCGCAGGAGTAGTTGAAATACTAGGAAAGTGGTGGGAGAAGCGTCTTCACTTCGGACACTGTCGTGTGGGGCTGCTACTCTCAGGACACGTGCCGAAGCCGGCAGAACACCTCACCTCGTGAGCAGTGACATAGATTCAGCAAAGTGTCGCCAATACATTAAATTAATGCTATTTTAAACTGTTAATTTCATAGTTTTACTTGTATTTATTGTTATGGGAATTTTTTATCTCCTTTTATTTTAGTTTTATAATTCTGGAAGAGCTATAAGCATAATAGGCTTATTAGGTTTTATGTTTGAGCCTGTTTAAGAAAGATGATTGTGATAAAAATAGTTATATTAATTTATTTCTAAACATTATAATAAAAATAATCTCAGACCCCCTCCCCTGGTGGGGGGGGGCGGTCTGTGAGAAGTATTTTTTTCCTTTATAAGGGTATATACGTGACTCAAGTTTGAGAGACACTGGTGCGGGTTACCTATCATTGGATTTCAGAAAACTTGACGTCAAGTGCTAGTTTATTGTTTTATATTGGGAAAAATACGTACTTCTGCCCCTCTGTTTCTATAAACTGGTATAATACAGCTACTTCAAATGTTTCACAGGGTAATTGTGAGGATGGATAAAGTATATGAAGGAGAAACTCTGTAAACTAAGTGCTGTCTGAATAGCCCATGTGCCATTTACTATTATTATAGCCCATCTATACACAAACCACACCACAATGTTCAACAGGCAGAGAAGAGGCCTCAAGAGTTTGTGGGTGAGGCACAGAGAGATCAAAGTCTCTGGGCGAAGTTGGCTGGCATCATTGCGATGCTGCTAAGGTTCACAGAAATCAATTAGGGACAAATCACGCATCATGAAAATGTTTTCTTCCTCTTTATTTTCTACTTCCTAGAATAGCAGGTGAACTTAGGGGTTCAGTGATTGAGTTGCAAGAAGTCAATATTTATATTCATAGAGGTCACTATTCAGCTCAGAGTTCTCCTTAAGACCCACCCCATCCCTAGCCCATTTCTAGGTAACTTTGTGTTCCTCACACTGGTGGAAATGTCTATCCACACTCATCCCCTCCAACCAAAGCCTGTGTGTCCTTGGGGGTCCCCCAGCCAGATTGCTTATTCCTTGGGCTCTTCCTTGATGTTTGCTGCTCATGTATCTTTCCGTTTATAAACTCCCGTGGCACTGAGAGTCTGGATGGTACAATCTAGCTCTTGATTTTATATGAATCTTTATTTCTAGTTGTCAGATTTTAAGGTTTACCAGGGCTGAAGCAACTTCCTCCATTTTCTTCATATACTGCACAGTGTTGAGTGAAATACGGATGCTTATGGAAGACTTAGCAAATCTAATTCAGTTGAATTGACTTCACCAGGGACAAACAAGATGTAAGTTTTCTCCATCACGTTAGTAATTTCTGTGAGAAAGATGAGGTTAGAGAGCTCTTATGGGTAGGGTCACATATGAGAAGGTCCTATGGAGCAAGCAGGAGTCACTTAGGGGTCTCTAAAGTCATCAAATGGGGGCATATTTTGAGCCACAAACTTTCCTTGGATACAAGGATAGACGGGCATAGTGTGACATGGCATTGGTATTTCCAGAGGAGGCAGACAGATACGGATTTGCACATGGGGAAGGGAAAAAAAGGGGAATCAATTTTCGTAGCAGTAAATGAGCCATGTGATCATTTGTGAGTTTGGACAGGAGAAGGAAAATGCCCAAATTTCCCTTATATTTCCCCAAAGTGATGTCAATATATTCAATCCTTGAATACTCAATGCTGGTATCAAGAGGACTGATATGTTGAGAGTTTTTCTGGCCTTTTAGGTATAAACCTCAATTTGGACAATCTCAGACTGGACCTAGACCACAAAGTATGAAAGAATGCGGAGGGCTGCCTGAGACAGAAACACTGTCACGATATAAACAAAACACAATAGGAAAACAAGGGAAGAGTTTTTTTTTTTTTTAATTATTCCTTCATATTCAAACTTCACAAACAGTGTGAACTTGTACAATACCTCGGAAAGTGAAACTTACAAAAAAAGTGCTGGTAACATTTAAAAAAAAACAACAAAAACCCCAAAAAACAAACATCATTCTTAGCAACATCAATTACTCTTCCACACAAAACAGAAACCTTGTAAAATTTATTTTCGTATTTTTAAGGCGTAATACTTCCGTATAAAGTATATGCAAGAGATAAAACTTCACAGTATTCCAAAATGTCACAATAATAATAATAATATAATAGTATAATGAAGCGCTACAGTTAATTTTTCTTTTTTTGAATGTTTTTTTTCCTGTTTAAATAACAAATACAAGTCACAGGTAAATATACGTGAGAAAAATACGAGGCTAATATTAAATGGCAGGTAAGGATACTGTCACTGTAAGAAAAAACTGGCAGGATGTGTGTATTTAGTCTATATTTTAAAGCACTTGATAGAAAAGGCGTATGCAAGGTTTTTCAAAACAATTTTTTTGTTTGTTTGATAACTGACAACGATTTAAGAGTATAATGAGAAAAAAAAAAAAGGAACAAACTCCCTCTCAAAACTATTGACCTGCTCATCC